GTGAGACCTTGTGGACCCTATAGTAAAATACATTAAAAAACAAAACAAAACAAGACAGCAAGGATGGAGGCATTGCAATATCTAATTTCAAAATAACTATGGACACTGGATGTGATGGCACACTTCTTTCTCCCAGCACTCAGGAGGCTGAGGCAGGATTATTTCCTTGAGTTAGAGCCCCACCTTGACTACATACTGAGTTCAAGGCAAGCCTGTGCTACATAGTAAGTGCTTGGTCAGGTTGGAGTACATCATGAGACTTTGTCTCAAAAATCAAAACAAAAAATTACTATGAAAGCCAATGTAGGGCTGGCCAAATAGCTCAGTGGATAAAGCAACTGCAAGTAGGTGCATGGGCCGGGGGTTCAATCCCTGGTCCTGCTGTGCTAATCCCACCCCCAGGCATGCTGAGGGGGCAATTAAGATTGGGCGTGGTAGCACATGCCTGTAATCCAGCTCTTGGGAGGCTGTAAACAGGTGGATCATTATGAGTCCAATCTAGTAGTGAGACCCTGAGCACTCTGTAGATCCTTCCCCAAAATACAAAAAAAAAAAAAAAAAAAAGAAAGAAAGAAAGAAAGAAAGAAAGAAAGAAAGAAAGAAAATAAATCAGTGTGAGAACATTTGAACAGTGCTACCAAGCAAAGGGATCTGACTGACATTGACTCCCACTCAGAGTAGCAGAATACACACCCTTTTCAAGTGTGCTTTACAGCAATAGATCACTTACTTTCTGGACCATAAAGGAAGTCTTAATAAAATTTTAGAACCATGATATGGATCATAATGCTGCTTGAACAAATGAACAACTATGTCCAAAATACGAGTACAGGTCATTTCTTGATGGCCCCAGTGGGAGTCCCTAAGTCTAATGCCACAGACCTTTGTTTCTGGCCTTGCTTATCAACTGAATATGCTCAAGTAGAAGACAAAGTTATTTTTCCCCTTATCAGTATCTCTCTTATTAGTAACAATAGCATTACATTCAAGTCAGTTCAAAGGATCTTTAATATTACAAGACTTTTTTCATTCATCCATCCATTCACTGGATGGGATCTTTCTTTGTTCCCCACACTGGCCTTAATCTCCTGGACTTAGGCAGTCCCTTGGTGTAGCCTCCTGAGCAGCTGGGACTACAGGTGCATACTACCCTACCCAGATTCAGTTTTGATAAACAGTAAACATTCAGATCCTTTGTGCATAACCAAAACTGGTTCAGCAAGAATCCAAAGTACATTGCTTTTTGCATTCTTTAGCAAACAATTAGGTAGTTTTCATACTCATCTGAGTTTCCATTTATAGTTAGGTTAATAGTTGAAAGTTTTTTGGTTTTTTTTTTTTGAAAGTTTTTAAAGAAGATACTGACACTAAGTAGAAACTGTGTTGTTTTTTTTTTTTTTTTGAAAGTTTTTAAAGAAGATACTGACACTAAGTAGAAACTGTGTTGTTTTTTTTCCCCCTTTGTCCTTTGTTGTCTTTTTCAGTGCTGAGAATCAAATCCAACACCTCATATGTGGTAGTCAAGAGTTCTATATTGAAGGGCTGGGCAGATAGTTCAGCGGACTAAAGCGCTTGCTTAGGCAGGGCACAGGGTCCGGGGTTCAATCCCCTGCATGCTGTTCTGGCCCCACCCCCGGGGTGTGCTAAAACAGTGACTGAGACTGGGTGTGGTGATGCACACCTGTAATCCCAG